CAACAATTAAAAGAAAATTATTCCAGTAACAGTAAAGAGATTAATTCATTTGAAGGCTGACCAGATGCAGTTACACAAACTCTACTAATGAAGAAAAGCAATTCCAATAACAGATGTTTGTCTATGACAATATAAAGAAGGTGTTGAACTCTAGTCAGACCCTGCTATTATTAGTTTACAGCTAAGAAGCTTGAAAAAGTTGTGTAATAGGAACTTTATTCATTTCAGTGGCATAATCTGACATCTCAATTAAATACTTTTTGAACTGAAGATGGTAACATGACAATGTAGAAGTACCATTGACATTTTTGTTATTTTTAAATAAACAACTAATGCACTTAAAATAGAAAATGTGTCTTGTGCAAGCATTTCTGTTGGTAATTTAATCATAAATCCTGTAAATCCACATAAAAGCCTTTTAAGAAACGATGAAAGTTGATTTATTGGTGGAAATAGTTTAGAGTATATGAGTCTTGGATCAGGCCTTTTATTTAACACATTTTCTGAAGGGTGTCAAAGTATTGTATAAAAAGCCAACTAATGCCTCATAGGGAAGACGGAAAAATACAAATGACGTGCATATCTCATTAAGCATCTGTATATGTTTAAGAGGAAACATAAGTCTGTTCATACTGCAATTAGTGCAGATTGACAGCTTTTAGATTGTTTAACATTTCAATGTATTAACTTTGCGACAAAGTCGAAACATTACTGCTCACAAATGAGTATACTGATATATATTTTTTATCCCTCTCTTCCTCAGGTAGTTCTGTGGGTGGATCTTACCCAGGGAAAAGGCAAGGTGCCAATTTGTTCAGTAAGACACATGTTAACTACTAGACTGCAGGCCTGTTAACAGTATATTTACCTGAGAAAATATTCCAGTTCCCTTTTAAACTATTGGTATTTTTAATATCCTAACTATAGAAACGCTTTTTTTAAAAAGAATAATATGGGAAGTCTTTAACTATTCTATCAAAGACCAACTGTTATGATAAAAAAAACTGGAATATGGCGTAAAATCGTTATTTTACTTATTTGAAAGACATTATTGTTAACTGAAATGCATTGAGGGCGGATGCAACAACTGTATTTTTAAGTGACATACTGTCATAGGCCCTCCAGAGCCAGTTTCTACCTGGAATTATATCATCTCAAACATTTTCTGTAAGTATAGACAGTTGTGGCCTTGTTTAGGTCTTAAATTGAAGCTAACTCCTTTGGGTTTGCTTGACGTTAACACAAAATGTAAACCATCAGATGTCTTACTATCCTGTGTCCACTCATCAGACAGAACCAAACAGAAAAAATAAAATTTTCAAAGATCATCCAGGTCAAAGATCCAGGTCATTTCTACAAAAAGATGATTTTTTCAGGTTATAGCCCTGTCAGACAGGTGAAAATGTTGTTTTTAATAAAAATCAGAGAAAAAATTGAACAACGTAAATAAGAACTCTACATATTTTTTGTGAAGACAAGATTGATTGATTGATCATTACCTGCTATGTCAACAATCAATAGAAAAATGTAATCTGAGCTTCGCTGCAGAACTCCTTTCCCCTAACCCTCTGAATGGTTGAAAACATAATGAATGACAGGAATCTGAACCAATTATACCAACTCCAATAGACAATATCTCTCAGTTTCCTTCAAGCCTGGAGATGAGTACAGTCTCTCATGTACGGATATGATTCCTCACACCGTACAAGATAAGTACACAGGACTTTATGTATTTTTGCAAGCTTTTGCTTTTGTGATTATGTTTTGCTAGGTTACTGATAAATTATCAGCAGATTTTGGAACTTTGCTGAACTGCATCATCAGATAAAAAGTGTTTTAACCATTGGAATAAATTGTTTTGTTATATTTTGCACTGGGAAGCGGCTTTGTGAAGCTCCAGTTGTCTTTTTTCATTAGATATAAGGTTTGTTGTGAAGTTTTCTTATTTTGCTGGAGAAAATTTGAAATGTGCATTTTTTTAATTTATGATCATATTATGACAGTTTCATTAAAAAGCCTTTTACTATGATGATTTTGTCATTTTGTTGCTTTCATTTGTAAGAAAACATTGGAGATCACTTACAAAATGAAACTTTGCAGCTAGGTTTAAAAATAACTTGTTTATCATAATTAAATAATGATTCTAGGGCATGATGCGCTCAAACCCTCCAGCAATGCCGGAGGCATTCTAGTTGGTTTTTAAGTGACCGCAACCATGTGAAGTTTATGATTCAATGTGCTACAGCTGTGGGCCAGCATTACAAATGTAGACAACATACTTCCTTGCACATAGAGCGAGATAGGGCTTGTATGTAAGTGTTTGTTTTGTGAGTAGTTCACCTGTCATATGCAGGTTGAAGCAGCTGAGCAAGAGTGACTGGGGTGCTAGCTTGTGCATGTGGTCTATGTTTGCCTGATGCAGACAGTGGAGACAGGAGATTCACTGCAGTGAGACTGATCAGGTCATAGCTAGGAGAAGGCAGGCCCGTGTTCAGTGTGCAGGGTAGTAATGTAAGACTTTTGCTCTCTGTGGCTCGACAGAGAGGTTGAAATTATATTGCCTAGTTACTTAAAAAGGATTAAACAATAAATTGATTAGAATCATCTTCAAAATATGAAGGTACAAAGTATGGTGACAGTTGGTAATTAAAGTCTTTTTAAGAAAATGTAATTGTTTGATAATATTCCCTTTTTAAGGCCAACTCTTGTTTTTGGACATTATCCGGTTGAGTAATCTCACTTTGTTCCCCGGTCCTCATCAAAACAAAACACAAAACACCCAGCACACTGTGATCTCACCATATAAAGGTGTGAAATACAGTTGTGTTAATAAATTCTAATTTAGTTAAATAAAAGCCCTTCTAAAAAAGGGTTTTGATTCTAGATTTAAAAGAGCTCAGGGAAGGTGATTCTCTGATATCCTTAGGGAAACTGAGAGACTTAAGAAACCTGATATCTATAAAATATCAAATATCTACTGTGCGACATTTCTGAAACAGCTCAAAAGACGATCGCAGATCCTCTAACGTGAATGCCATTATGGACACACCATCAATTACCTATACACAGCACCTGTAATTCAAAGGACCACTAAAAACTAAAACAAGCTCATGCTCATCAAGAAAAAAACATCCAGCCTGGCTCCACAAAATTAATAAAAGATCCTGGAGCAGGCCCCAAATATGTTACATCCCTACTATATTTATATCCAGGGGAAAGTGGGAAGCAACATAAAAGCATGCAGACACAATCTGAGTAACAATAAAAAGTGTATTTGCAAAAAATAGTTATTACACAAGTTTAGAAAATGTACTTGTAAGATAAAGATCACAGTAACACAATTACATTCGAACTAACACTCTGTAACATTCCTAAAACATATTCCTAACAACATACACCACTGCCTGACCACCAACAAGATCCTAAAATTCTCAGCAGATACAATCCAACCGCTAACTTCCAATAAGTCAATAAAACAAGGTGTCATAGGTCGGAAACAGAATTCTTCTTTAATGGCATAAACAGAATGTCAACGAATGGGGCTATTTATAATGCGGATAACATACAGATTCAGCCATTCAAAACGCATGGAGTATGCTGCGTTAAAACGTGGTAGTGATGGCACATTATAACGCACCTTATAAAACCTTGTAAAAGGGGTGGAGCTAATAAAGCTTAATGTCCCATGTACAGCATTTGAGCTGTCACCAGAAAATGCCTGGTTTCGAATCCCAGTCACTACAGAGGGATAATCTTTTTCCAATTAAGAATTTAAATTTAATTTTAAACTGTGTATTACAGCATGTTAATCATTAAACATTAAAAAGTCAGTATATTTTATAAAAAGCAAGATTGCTCAGTTGGACAAAAGTACACAACCTTCCACCTTCATCATAAATTTAATTATTCATAAACATTTTACGCATCAAAGTCTTTAACCTGGTAACTTAGTGCGTTCTGGTTTTAATGTGCGTGTTTTAACATTATTAAGCTTATATTGTGTACTTCATAAAAAGTTATAATGTTTTATCCTTTTCTAAGAATAAGTAAGTAAGCAAGTAAGAACACCACTTGCTGTTATTGTAAAAAGATAAATGTAGTAATTTAATATCACTTGATTGTTATATGAACATGGAATCATATTCATATAACATATATATCACAGGTGGACATTTCAGAAACATTTTGACAATCGTTTCTTTTTTTAAAAAAAACTTTCATTGTGCTTGTAGTGGTAATTGACAAAGCACTGCACCCAATGGTTCAAAGCGCGATCAGAGTATTACTTTTGGTTTGTTTCTTATATAGTAAATACATAAAAATAGTCCATTATTATAGCTTGTTGTTGGCTGAGATTCTGACTGGCTAAATTCCCCTCATTTAGCTGAAATGGATAAAGAAATCATGCAGTAGTTATATGTATTAGAAAGTGCTTTATTAACAGACACTGCACCTCAAACCTGTGTTGTACAGTGATATACTGATGTACGTGGGTAATGTCATCCCAATTAAACATTGTGTTTATTGCGCAAATGCTGCTAAACTAAAAATTAGACGCAAGAAGATAATTATTGGACAATGTTGTGAGGCTCTGGTGGAATTTCTCTGTAAACTGAAGAGTTAAAGAGGACACACATTGTGTATTGCTTCTTTTACACTTGTAAGAACATTCAAAAAAAATGCAACATGAAAGATATTACCTTTTAAATCTGAAACTGTTAACTCCACTTCACACCTGCATGTCAAGATCACAGTTTCAAAATAAAAATAAACTTCAAACCTTTGATTGGATGAGAACGTCATGATTGTTTCACAAGGATGTGAATTGTGACAATTTGATACAGTTACTTTTTAATTTACTTTTGTGTTGCTGCAGTAGCTTGCAATGGCTGGATAGTTGCTTTGTCTGTCTGTCCATGGGGGGAAGGGGGAAAGGGAGCGGGGCAGCTCTCCTTGACAACTGACACTCCTCCATTCGCTTAAGTGAAAAAATTAGTAACAACACCAATGTAAATGTCATATTTACAATTTGTTGAAAATACAAATGTTAGGTTCTCTAAAGCTTTCTCAGTCAAGTGCCCTATTTTGTCAGCAACCTGCTACTCTGCTTAACACCTGTAGAAAACATAATTTTCTTTCTGTATGGAATGCGTGTTGCATTTACAAAATTAAAGTGTTTCAAATCTTTAAGTAAAATGAACTTACAGTTTACACAAAGACTCAAACTACAGTATGGAAAAACAAGTGTTAAGAAAAAACAGGACATTTGATTGCTGGATGCCTTATATTTATTTTAAAAAATGAAATAAAAAATAAGATACAATGACGTGTTCCTGCCTAACTCAAACATTGCATGACTTTAAAAGCCGTAACAAATGGTTCAGATAGCAGAAAGTCACCTTGCTCTTACAAGCCAATCTGTTAAGCAGAGTTTGTGTTAACACAACTTTGTCTGTGAGTGAAAAAAAATGACCACGGGCACTTTTCCCCCATATTCTCATGTACGAGTAGAATAGGTGAACCTTCCAATGAAAGACCTTCCTTTCACCCAAGACTGGCAGGAAACAGTCGAAACTCGCCACACCCAGACTGTTTACTCGATCAACCTTTTTTAATAGCCTTGCAAATGCGCTCACAATGTAGGATATTCACTCAACGCACCACAGGTGTCAAACCATTTGGTTTCCTTGTCAAATTTTTTGCTCCATAGCCGCTGCTTTAGCATTTATACAGGATGCCTATTCCAGAGATATTTTCATTGTTGATAACTATGCGGGGAGAGCATGTAGATTTCAAAACAGGCTTTTTTGGCAGTAGAAGTGAGCAACTACCTGCTCAAAAACAAATTTGTTCCTAAAAAATACATAACCACATTATGTACTCTACATTGTTCTATTTTGTCTGTGAGTGAAAAAAATGAATTACAGTAAAGTTGGGTTTGCATGATTAGCAACGTGGGGTCATTGTTATGATTTCACTATTATTATCAAATCCCTCAACTCGTTCATTTGTGGTTATTTTGACATGTTTCTTTTAACTACATTGTTGTCGATATTGTAGCAATAGACAAAATGAAACGCTTGAAGTTTGTAATGTAGGGCGCTCTGAACGAGTTAAACTTTGATGCAGGACAAATAAATATATTTCCCACAAGCTATACTGTAGTGGCAGTACAGTAACAGTACTGTGAACTTTGAATGCCTGAATCTGTATATTGTATAGAAGAACTGCACTACCTGCCATATTACAGACAATTCCACATTTCTGTTTGTATTAAACACAAACGGTAGTGAAGCAGATAGTTGTGTTAATCACAATGATTTTGTCTCACAACTGCCCCCAAAGGAGATCACAAGAAAGGAAAGAAATCCTCTAGAATAAAAAAAATAAATCTTCTTGGCCTAGGTTGCTGTCTGATAAAACTGGCAATTTAAAACTGCAATGAAACTGTAAACAAGGGGTTTGCATGCACAGATTAAGAATAAAATTGTGCTGATTGTTACTTAACCAAACCAAAGACTGCAAAGCAAGTGATACATTGTTCAATCTTGCTACTCTTCATACAGGACTGAGTCCAGGTGTAAAGGAGGCTCCATGGCCAAAATGTTATATTTTCTTTCTTCTCTTTTCAGCATGAAATAAACCTATAACTTGTTCCTTTGCAATCTTTCAGGCTGTGAGGATCAAAGATCTCCCCAAACACATTTCCCATTTTACCTCAAACAGCCATGCACAACTCTTATTGCAGGAAGACATCCAAACCCCAAATTACTAGGATCCTGAACTCATTCCCCTTCTCTCAATGACAGACTCATTTTGTTTTGACTTCACACCTCTCTTGACTTCTCTTAACTTGACCACTCCTTCTCTCCTGCTCCCGCCTCCTCTCCACCCCTAGCTTTTGTTCTTCCATACATTGTTTCCTCTCACCCTCAAACTTGACGAAGGCTCCACAGCTGAAACATTGTGTCTCT